AATGTCATGAAGACACAAATAAAATCAAATAAAATTTTTAAAAATTTTAAGTACATGAAGACTAGTCTAAACAGAATGAAGAGTTAGGACAACTATTGCAAAAGTGATTTTTCTTTGGACTCTAGTTTTGTAAAAAGGGAGAAAGGAAAGAGAAAAGTTATAAAAAGATTTTTGGGGGGATGTTTTTGAGAAACAGGATCTCCCTATGGGTTCAGGCTGGCATTAAATTTAGGGTCCTCTTGTGTTAGCTTTGAGAGTGCTGAGATTACAGGTGTGTGACCTAACACCTAGCTATAAAGGGCATTTTTGAAACAGCTGGGAAAATTTAGACACTGTAGTGGTTAACTTATTGTGTCAACTTGAGACATTTAGAAGTTTAACTAAATCAACTTAGCATTTCTATACCCTACAGCGTAGAAGACCCATTCTAGGGTGGCTCATCTCCTGGATAGTATCAAAGGAAAGGAGGGAGGACAGATGAGGTTCTGTTCTTTGGAGGAGCTCCAGTCTTTGTCTTTGGCTTAGACATTGTCTCCTGGCTTCTAGCACAGACTCTTTAGTTTCTGCCTTGAATCTTTCAGACTTCTGACATTAGATTCATAGCCTTCTGTTGCAGACCCATCAGCCTGTGGTGTGGACTTGCCTGGGACACTGCAGTGAACTCTGGACCTGGGACTGAATCCTTTGGCCTCCGACTTGTAGAGAAACACCCTCTCTGCACACTTCCTCATTGGACTCTGTGGCTGACCATCATAAGCCAATCTTGTAATTTCTTATGTATATCTGTTTTCCCTAGTAAAACCCTAATACACAGTCTGTATATTAAACACTTTTATTGCTTCATTCTTACATTTCTCAAGTATGAAAGGGACACTGGACACATGTAGGAAAATGTCTTTATTTTTAGGAGAGCAGTGCTGAAATATGACATATGCAGCTTACTAATAGTTTAGTGTAAAAACAAGAAACAGAAACAGTGTACAAGTGATTCCTATCTGAAATGAGTAAAAGAACCTCTGATCAACAATCCTCAAATGCCTGCTGAACTCATACATTTAAAGAATTTCCATGTCTCAGTATATTTATATTCTGTAGCATGTAATGTTTTATTTGTTTATTTATTTGGTACCAGGGAAGGAATTATTTCTATTTTTTGAAAGAGGTATCAGTTTCAAAATTAATGTGGTTATAATAGTGTTAAAAGTCTGAACTAAACATAAATAAATAAAATAAAAATAAAAGTCTGAACTGATCATGTTTACAGACATTAGCCATCACAAACAGGCATGATGGGCAGGGTGGTGTACAACTGTAATCCCAGCACATGGGAGGGCAAGGCAGGAGGATTGTTGCAAATTCGAGACAGGCCTGACTACAGTGAGCTCCAGGGCAGCCTGAACTGCACAGCAAGTCCTTGTCTCAGACAAAAAGAAAAGTAAGTCAAATAGGCATGAACTTCTTGGCATCTTCCAAAGCTATCAAAATATTGTATATGCACAGAAATGCACTAATAGCAGGCCAGTAACTGCTATTCTTTTTTTTTTTTTTTCCTTTTTTCTTTTTTTGTCTTTTTAGACAGGGTCTCATTATGCAGTTCGAGATGCCCTTGAGCTCAGTTTGTAGCCCAGGCTAGTCTCGAAGTGCAACAATCCTCCCACCTCAGCCTCCCGAGTCCTGGGATTACAGGCGTGAGCTGCCATGCCCAGCTCGTAACTGCTATTCTTACAAAATCCAGCTTACTAGGTTGTCTGGGAAACTGGATTTTGGGAGAGTTTTCACCATTCCCTCAGAAGAACACCTCACTGTCCTTAAACTCTCAAACTATGTGGTCTGCCATCTATGTGCAAGGATATGGATATCTGTGTGTTCAGACTATAAAACCCTGCTCTCTAATGAGCTTCCTGGATGTACAATTTACAAGTGCTGTCAACAAGTCCATGATGGAGAGGTCAAGGACATCCGATGGGACTGCACTGGGAAAGTGAGCTGGGTTTCCTCAGACTTTGTACCAAGGGCCTTTCCTTTTGCTGTCTCCAATCAGAGGTATGAGTGGGACTGTACGCTGAGTTCTGTGAGTCCTTCCAGCAAATCATCACATGTTAAAGAGGTCTCAGAGGACTCTGTAATAGTATGCTATATGAGACAGTAGTCCCATTATTTTAATAGTCCCATTATTCTAGGGTAGTGAAAACTAAAAAAAATTTAAAACATTTTCATAAAGTCATATCAAAAAGAAATTTAATAGGCACCAGTAAGATTCTGACCTTGGATTACATGTTACAATAATTACTTCCACTCAACAGTAAATGTAGACTTCCCTTATAGGACAAGGAAGCAAAAAGATAATTAATTATGAGGAATTCAATAATACTTTAAGCTAAGAACTAGATCTCAGTCTCAAAACTAATACAATTATTTTTAAGAAATCTCATTTCCACACATAAAGACAGTCCCATTCCACCTCAAGTTCATATAAAACTAAACCTCTAGAATGAATTTCTAGAGCTCAAAGATTAAATTTTAAAACTCAAAATTTTCCATGGTCCTTTGTTTCTGTTTGCACAAACAGGATTGAGGTGATATCAGAAAGCACCAGGTGCTCATCTTCCCCTTCTGAAAATGATGCACAGCTCATATTACCGAAGGAAGTAACTGTTATTCATTCCTCAGAAGAGAGAAAACTTGGAGGCAGTACATATCCAAACTGTTTAGCTGCTTCCATTTATAAATAAACACCAAGATATTGCTGCCTTACATATCTTTTTTACAAAATATTAAATATTATAAATATTATTTTAAAATTAAACTGGCTAGAGTTAAGATTCTTTTAGAGACAAAACACAACATACATTTTTGTTTATCACTGAAAATGTAACTGTATTTGACCTAACAAGTTTCAAAGTGATTTTACTTTGGAACAATTCTGTTGGCCACAGAATACCTGCCCAAACTTCAAATCATTGTATGAATGGAGACAACTATCAAATGGGAATAGAAATAGGAGATTTGCTTTTCGATTGTTAGAAATGCTTTTCTATCTCATCAAACTGCTATGTTTAGGATTTAAATAATTAGGTGTACTATACATAGCCAAGGAAAAGATCACAGTAAAGTTTCATTCCGTTATGATTTTAATACTCTGCCTTTCCAAACTTCTAAACTGGAATTATTTATAAGATCACATCAGGTATGGCTGGCACACACATAATTTCAGTTATTCTGAAGGCTGAGGCCTAAGGATCTCAAATTCAAGGCCATCCTAGAAAACTCAGCAAGACCTAGCCCCAGAGTAAGAAATACAGAAGACTGAGAATATAGCTCCAGTGGCAGTGCACATACCTAGCATCCACAAGGCCCTGGAATCGATCTCCAGTATCACTCTCTCCAGAAAGAGTACTAGGATAGTCACAACACTCAATGGAAAGTCACTGCTTATATAGATTTTTTAAAAAGTTTGTTACTACTACTGAATTTATAAAGCCATAGTCTATGAAATATTAAAACAAAGGAAACTATTTAGGTCAAACACAATGAATAAAAATTATGGACATAAATCTAAAATTTCATTCACTCACTATTCAGTCAACATGAATGAATCATGGCTGAGAAAGCAAAGAAAGGTCTTTGTACTCCAGAAGCTTACAGTGGAACAGAAGACAAGCCAATTTAGCAATCTAAGAGGTAGTATATGTTATTTGTGCTACTACTGAAGCCAGTAAGATAAGACTTGGAGGAGCAAAAGAAAATGTCATCAATTTTACTGAGGGATAGGAGAGTAGAGGAAAATTTTCCCTGCAGGTAATGAGAAAGTATTTAAGGGTTATTAGAAAAGGCATTAGGATCAAATTTCTGTTTTACAACCATCACTGGCGGCAAAGCATAAAATGCCCTGGAAGCATGTACAATAATCCAGGTTTCGCAGGAGAGGGATCTAGAATGCACCCACATATTTAGCTGGGAAGAACAAGACAAAGAATGGAGGGAAGATCAGATTTTGTGTTGAACTGTTTAACACTGTTGTGGCTTGTATCTAGACGTTCCCTCAAAGTCTTGTGGACATAGCTGGGGCTCTTGGGAGGTGGCTGGATCTAGAGTGTGTAATGCTAGGATTAAGGTGGTGATGATAGGATTAAAGCTGCCCCACTTAGGTGTGGATGGCATTGCTCAAAGAGCAGGTAGACTGGATGCAAAAGGGACAGAAAGAAGGCAGGCCCCTTCTGCTGCTGCTATTGCTTGCTACTTTTGCTGCCTCCTGTCTTGCACTCCATGAACTGTTATTTACTCCCTACAATGCCCCTCTGCCAAGTCACCCTGCCTTGGAGCCAGCTGCTTATGGACTAAAACCTCCACAGACTGTGAGCTAAAATAAACTTATAGTCTTTTAACTTTGGGTGTAGGATATTTTGTCTCAGCAAAAAAGTAACTGAGACCAAAACTTACTGTGATATGCTATGCAAGTATAGACAGATATAAGCCTCATCCTTACTAAGACAAATCTAATGGTTTTGAATTGGTAGTATCAATGTTTAGTTGGTAAGAGAAGTTATGGGCATGGATGAGGTAATCCAAAAGCAGCTACTATAGTTAGGAGAAAAGTTAAAAATACGGTATAAAATTACATACAGTATAAAATATAATAATACAGTATAAAATCTCAACTCCAAAATTATAAGGAAAAAAGGAAGAGACACTGAAAGAGATAAGCAAATACTTACTGTGTACCTGCTAAGTTCGAAACCAGCCTGGATTACATAGTAAGTTCAAGGCCAGCCTGATCTACAGAGAAAGACCCTGTTTCAAAAACAAAACACAGGGCCAGGGATTTAACTCAATGGCATAGGCGCTCACCTGGCAAGTGCAAGGTAGTGAGTTCGATCTCTGGTACAAAAAATAATAATAATAAAACTTTGAGAAATAGTTGTCAGATACTCTGTAAAATGTTTCCTAGCTGATGTATGCTGATATTTCTCTCATAATGAGCCTTGGGTTATATATTTTAGGGAGGAAGACTACCGAGACAGAGTACCTCTGTCATTACTTCATATCAAGGATTTTTAGTATGACATCGCTATTGACACTAACTTTGATCACCTGGCTGAGGTAAGGGTTGTCATTTTTCTCCACTATTACCTTTCTTACTTTTCACAATGTAATCTTGTAGTCTTCAGAAGGAAGTCACTATGAGTAGCTCATACTTAAGGAGTTAGAGTTAGCCTCCACACCTTGGGGGCATGTGAGTGTGTATGTATTTGTATTTTTTAAATTAGGTATTCTTTTACACAGCAACTTTGACTATTTCACCCTCATTTATTAATTTATACATTTATATCAGTATGATCCAATATTTTGAATTATGATCCTCATATTTTGAGTTATGGTCCAATACTACTCTGTTTTGTTGCACAAACTGTTATGGCTTTGACCACTGAAAACTATTTAATTAGTTCCTGTGGTCCTTTAGCAAATCCCTGACCTGTAGAATTTTTGTGCCCCCTTCCCGCTTTTTGAGGCTTTCCTTACTTTCTGTCACTGTAAGATGCTCCAGGCTGATCTTATAGGCATTTTGACCCAGTCCAAGAATCTGCTGCTTCTCCACCTAGTTCCTTTTGTTGGAGAATGACTATGAGAAACCAAGATCTGAACACAAGATATACTCCTTGCTGGTGGGGTATCACTCATTAGACTTGTCAACTAACAGACGATCTACATGTATATCAACCTATGTGTACACATATACAAATGAGTATGTCCATTTATAATCATCTGTATTATCTACGCTAGACTGAAACATGAGTTCACAGTGATGCTGGAGACATTTTTCATAGTTATGAGTAGCGAGTGTCATAGCACCTAGTGAACATAGCCAGGGATGCTGCCACACATCCTGCAGTACACAGACTAGTCCCTCACAATAAATAACTATGTGTTGCAAAATGTCAATTGTATCTAGGCTGAAAATTCCTTGCCAACATTATATTTTATTTTGGTTTTTTGGGTGATGGTCTTGCTCTATTACCTAGGCTGGTCACAAACTTCTGAGCTCAAGGGATACTTCTGTGTTAGCCTCCCAAGTAGCTGGGGCAACAGGGGCCCATCACTGGTGAAAAACTTCTAATTTATAACAGTACAACCCAATAACAAGGCCACCTCTGAGAAATGATTTAAATAAAGAGTTCTTGAGAGTACAATGATGATTATTATACCATAACTACACATCTTGTCTGTTAACTAAGAAGTAGGTGTAAGTTAAACCTTAAATAATTCTCTCACTCAAGATTGTTTTTGTGATAATGGCTAGGCTAGGATAGGCTTCAGAATCAGGCAAAAACTCATCCTCAGTCTTGCTTCTGTCATTTATTCATTAACTATGTGGTCTTGAGTTATAACTATCTACTCAATAAGAGATCTTCCTTTTGGGTGTGGTGGTGTATGACTACAATACACATATAATTTAGAATAATGATTAGTTCTACTGAGAAATGGAGGACATATGTTAAGCAGAGCAGGCTGGGATTTGTTTCTTTATTTTTGTGACAGAGTCTTGCCATGTAGTGCAGGCTGGCTTTGAACTCAGTATGAAGCCCAGGCTGGCCAGGAGCTAAGCATGATCCTTCTAATTTTTTTTTTTTTTTGTCTTTTTAACTTTTTTATCGGTACCAGGGATCAAACTCATGACTGCCTGCCTGGAAGGCAGGCACTTATGCTGCTGAGCTAAATCCCCAGCCCCTGATCCTTCTAATTTTACATCCAGCTCCAAGCTGAGATTTAAGGATACAATTTAGGATGGTTACTGGGAAAATTAGTATTTCTTTTCTATCCCTTTCAATCATTTCTCTCTTTCTTTTGAACTAGTTTGTATGCTAAAAACACTTAATTTAACCCTGCTAATCTTTACTTTCATTTAACTTCATAGACATTTTTATAGATTTGTCTATAATGATCCATACTAAACAACTCCTGGGAAAGAACATGTCCTTTTTGTTTTATAAACTTCCATAGATGCTCAAATTCTCAGGCTTTAGGTCTCTGTTTCTTTATAGTATAATCAGAAATTCTTACTGCTTGTTCTCAGATTGAATTTCTACTGTCATCAGAAATTACACAATAATAGAAGCATTCTGAGAATAAATAATTGAAAAAAATAAAAAACAACAAAAAAACACTGTTTGGAAGAAAAATTGCCCAGACTTCTAAACTTGAGCTGTAAGTACTAGATATCACTTAAGGAAGCAAACTGAGAAAGTGTGAGATCAAAACTATGTGGAAATAATTCAAATATTGTAAGTAGTTTTCATTTCCTCCCTAAATATTCTTACCAGTAATCTCAATATCTACTTTGAACCTACTCAAATTTATCAGTGTTTTCTCAGACTATGACAGTCCTCACTCAAATACTGGCTACTATTGCCAGAAAATGAAATTTTATCAATATAGCCTGCTATAATTTCAGTTTATTTTGACAGACGTATGACATTGTTAATTTGCCTTGAGATTAGGTCGAACTAATATCCTTTATATTTTTCCTCAAAAAGCTGGGATTGGAAGTCCCATTTAATCCAGCTATTCCACTTCTGGGCATATTAGCAGAAGATTTAAAAACATCATATCACAGAGATATATGTGCACCCTTGTTTATAGGAGCACAATTTGTAATAGCCAGATCTTGGAAACAACCTAAATGCCCATCAACTAAGGAATGGATAAAAAAGATGTAGTACTTTTATACAATGGAGTACTATTCAGCTATAAAAAAGGATCACACTAAGGCTTTTATAGGTAGATGGATGCAACTTGAGACCACACTTATAAATGAAATAATCAAACTCATATGTGTAAATACTGTATGCACTCCCAAATGTAAGAAACTGTAAGAATAAATAAGATACAAAATCCTCAATAAATATTGTGAAAGGATAAGAATCTGCTCAAAAGGGAAAAAATAACTCAGGGAAAAGGAGAAAAAAAGGAATGGAAAAGAAAAAGATATAAATTTAATATACACACTTAAGATAGCTAAGATGACTGTGCTACTAATTAGTTCTTGGAACAAAACAGTTAACATTCATAGATCAATTTTACCTGTTTACACCTGGTATTCTGAGGAACTCTTTTGAAGATTACTAACAACTTTAATTATGTTCCTACTCCCTTGTTTTGAAAGCTTATATTGTCATTGTTGTGGGCTCTTCGTTATTGTTATTTATTTATCTTTTTTGTTGCTTGTTTTTCTAGTAATTTGCTTTGCTTTGTTTTGTTTTGTTTTTCCCTCTAAACAGAAAGGATAGATGTACATGTAGAGGCTTATACATGCTTAGGACCTCTTCTAAAGAGTTTACAAGAATTGAGTGTATTGTTTGATGATATGAACAGCTACTTTGAAGAAAAAGAGACATTTAAGGTAGCCATTACTGATTTCCTATCATCATGCTGTGAAGTCTAGGAATGCTTTTATTCTTTGTTTAGAATGGTTTTAGTTTGTTTTGTATTGTTAAATTTCAATATAGATGAAGGTATTTTGAAGAGAACAAGACACATTATGGAAGCCATTATTGATTTTCCTACAGTCTAGTTTTGAAGACCAGTAATGCTTTCATTTTCTGTTTTGATCAGTTTTATACTATTTTTGACTGAATTCATTGTATGTGAAGATATGGACAACTATTTCAAAGAAAACAAGACATTATGGTAGCCACTGCTGAGTTCCTGTTGTCTTGCTTTGAAATCCTACGCTACTTGCATTGTTTTGTTCTGATATGCTTTGTTCTGTTTTATCCTCTTTAAAATAAAAAAATAATAATAATAATGAAAAGGTATATATTTATAACATTTGCATAGCAAATATTTGCATCTGGTCATGCTTGTGTTTAAATTTAAAACTGATATGTATATTTTATTGTTGACTAAAAGGGAAACAATAAACTAAATGATATGAGGCTAAAATGTGTATCTCTATTCATTCTACGTATGGACACACTCAATCCAACTGCTTCCAATGACAAGTTTCCAAGAAATCAAAAGTTAGTATTCTTAAGTGGTGGCTATTTTCTTTTTTTCTTATTGGTACCGGGGATCGAACTCACGACCGCCTGCTTGCAAGGCAGGTACTTATGCTGCTGAGCTAAATCCCCAGCCCCTATGGCGGCTGTTTTCTATTTGAGCAAAAGAAAAACATACCAGGAACTCAGAAAAATACAAATTTATATATAATTTAAGAGTACAGTTTAAAAATGACTCTGCCTTCATTCTTTCCCAACTTGTATTAGTATATGATCATCCTTCTGGACTACTTAGCTTAGTTTTAAATACTTACTGTCAAGTAAATTTTAACAAGTTTTCTAGGTATACTCCTGCCCCCATACTAAATTACCAGAGTATCATGAACATACCTTGCTTTAGAAAAAATGATGGAAAAAGAAAGGGTACTATATCCCTTATACACTTTCATAGTACAAATTCTTTCAAGACGAAAAATGGTTTAATTCTGTATCTGTACGTAATGCAACATTTGAAGGCATATCAAACACCTATCACAACAAAGGTACCACAATGGGCATGGGAGGTAGTACTTACAAAAATAATGACAAGTCCATAATTCAGTATTTTTTGGCACTCAATCTGAAGCAGTGCAGAAGAGATCAGAAGGAGACAAAGTATGAAGAGGCCTTTAATGAGGGGGCATGGGAGAGGCTGAGGTTCTCTCACTAGACAAAGGGCAGGGACTGCTTGTATTATATTATCTCTCACTGGGGTGGTGCTGAACTGGCTGGTGAAGGTGGAGCTAGTGATGTTTTGTCTAGGGATTGGAGTGCCTTTGGTACAAGCGGGAACAAAAGGCAGGAGGTCTATTTTAGGTCTGGAGCACCAGAGGAAGAAGACTGATAAGGTGTCTTTTTATGGTCTCCTCATCATTTTGAATCTCTGTCATGATAATTGGCAGATTTATGTGGTTAAAAAACTATCAGTCCACACATTTACAGAGTTCCTAGTACAGTGAGAAAGATATAAATAATTATTTATAATGTAAATTATTCATACTGTAACCTCAATTTGGACACATTATGATGAAGATGCAGAGTCCTAAAGATATCACAGGGTATCTG